CTCTTACCTCATCTTATATATACCCGCACATATATGCATACATTTACATATACTATATGGTAATGTTATCCTATCGAGACACTTAATGCTCGGTATATAGGCAAAGGGGTGTATTATCGATATTGTCGCTAGTACTGTGGTGTTATCGATTACGAAACGATAATACTGCATAAGCCAGTGTCATTTAGCCCAATAGCAGGGTACTATCGCCCACTTCGTGAGTACTCGAACGACCGAAACTTGACGGTGCGTTACGATAGAGATAATGGCTTAATTTAGCAGCAGTAGAAACTACTCGGATAGCTAAAACGCCTACGATGTACTCGTACGCATGCAGCGAGCGTTTTACCGTCGTCGTTTTAGCGTATGCCCACTTACTGTCGAACAGGCGGTTACACGTGTGTCTACCTATTGAAATTTTCTTGAGTCATTTCTGATTAAGCCCTACGTAAGCTATACGCAGGAATGGTCCGATTTAATTAAACCAAGTGGATGTGTGTGTCTTGTATCTTACTCGTATTAGGACCTAAATAGACAGATATTACCGGCGCATCAATATCGGGTACAATAAGGCGTACTGTAATTGTAATATGGCGTACATAGAATCGCCGGTTCTGTTTAATGAAGGCCACAGCAGAGAATCAATCATATCCAGTTGAGACACTTCAACATGGAATGAAAGCTGCGCGTTGTTTTCAACTTGATTATTACCTCAGGGGGTAATCACAGTGCCTCTCCGTTGGAGAAAAAGTATTTTTTCTTTTTTTTTCCACGTACAATTCGTTAATGGTGCGTTGTGTAGTATATGGGCAACTTGTTTTTCAAATCTCATTTGTTCCCTGTTGATTTCTAATCTCTCCATATCTTGTATTCTCTCCTGTTTTAAATGTCCTTTATTTAATGAAATATGGAAATTGCTACCTTTTGGAATGTAACCTATGTACTACACCCCGCATCCGGCCTAGATTATTTTTCTAGTAATGTCCACTCTGTTGAACTGGGAGCATCTCGATTAATGTATTAGTGTAACTGGTCAAGAAGACATCCGCCTACGATAGCGCTGTGAAGAGTTTGGGGTTAACTCTCTTGATAAACTTGTTTGTCTTCAGCCCGTTTAGGCCAAAGTACTAATAGGCGAAGTGTGCTGTCTCTTTAGGGGAGTACATTGACCGTGTGGCACATGCAAATGTTCATAAGTATCTAGCTTACAAGTAGATTTCATTGGTGGAAACATAAAGTAACATAGCAAACGTCATAAATTATGTCTGCGTTATTGCTCTCTGAAGAAAGTAGGCACTAGCAAACGGAAGTCAACTCAACTTTGATACCAGCACGATATCAAACTAGGTTATTAGAAAAAGTCGTCAGATAAAGAAAAAGGAAAAAAAAGAAGCCTTTGAATCAAATACGCATCAAAAGGAGTCCTAAATGAATTCGAGCACTTTGGTCCATATTAGCTGATCTAATCGTTTATTTGTATTTGATTGCAAATCTATGAGGACTCTGTGCAGGGTAGACAAGCGGGTTTGCCATTATTTCTAGCTCAACGAGCAGCTTCAGCCAAAATCGATAACTATCGTCCTCAATAGGTACGATCTGCTATCTGTAGAAATGGCTTTAAAACTTGTCCTAGTTATCTAATTTTGCAACTAAATGATTAGTGTAATTAGTTGTTACGGCTTATATATCTCTAAGTACTGCGAGTTATATAATACCTTTTTTTACCGGCCTAGGCACAGCGGTGGCCTTTCTGTTATGGGCGATTTTCTTGGCGGCGTGCATTCCCAAATCGGATCGCAACTAAATGAAGGCTGTCACGCCTCTAACTAACAATTCTATAGGAATAAATAATGATTTTAACTCTGTTGGCAAACAACACCACAAAACGCACTTTCCACAATTCCTATTATCCTAATATGTCCATTGCTGCAACGCAAAGCTTATACGTGGTTTTACCGTCTGCAAAGTATCTTCTTTCCTCTACGTTTTTATTTTGAGTTACATAAAAACCCATTCCCAGGTCTTCTCCTGACGGCCTGGTCAGCGGTTTTACTGCTTGGCCCTTACGATCCCCAGGGAAGCTAGCGTTGGCTGTCTACGTAAGAAAATGCCAATTGTGATAATGACATCTCGACGGTTTAGATTTGTTGACATCGCCGTGGGACAGTTCCTGTCTTTGATTCTGATTTACTGTTTTCGTTCCCGTTCGAGAACTTCCCCGGTCGACCGCCGTTCTTGAGCTCTCACAAAAATTCATTATAATAACTCTAACCGATTGAAATTCTGCTAGTTTATCGCTTAATACTTCCCAGCAGACATCGAGCGACTAAGTGAATTGTCCTCCCATTTTTGTACTTTAATATAGCTTGGATTTTCCAGCATGCCTGGTGGATACGTATTCAAAACTTAAAAACAATTCGGTACCTATTACTTTTATGGATATTTTTACCTTAAGCAGCAAAACTAGTTAGTTATTGTCCAGCCGTAGCCGACGCAATTCTATTGAAAGGCGATAACTCTAGCAGGCTGAAATTTGTTACACAGAAAACTGAGCAGGGCCAAATTTGACTTCATCCTAAACCACTACATCTGACGTGTCTAGCTGAAAGTCTACCTTCTGCTTTTTCTTTTATATTCATCGGACGCCTATTCACTAGCTGGATTAGCCGCTCTCAGGCCCGCTTCAATAACATCAGAGAGCCATACGAAACTACACAGGCCTGACCCGAACATCCATGTAGACTGGAAAGCATATGCCCGAGCGGAGATTCGAAATTCAACCAATTAAATTTTAACTTAAAGTAAAGACAAAACTTAAAGTGTTACGCTATAACATACCATTCATTTGCATTACTATATCGATATAATATACGCTTATTTGATGGCTAGTTTTACTTCCTCCGGTATGGTCATTGTCAGGCTACCGCTAGACATTTGAAGAGTCGTTATGAATTCTCCATTAATTTCAATGTTTCCGACAGCCGTTTCCACCCCGTTGAAATTCTTACAGTGACCGCGTGAATTCAAATGATGTGACGAACGCCTTTTCGGTGACGCGCGCGGTGCCATCTAGGAACAGAGGGCGTCCAGCACCCCCCCCCCCCCTGAAGAGCAGAAACAAGTGCTTCTTAACTAACGTTTCCAGGCCTTTCCATCGCTTAGTGATCTCGTTCTACAAGAAGGCGTGGAGTTCTGCGGTACTTGGTATTTCGTTCGGGGACCAAACATTTATCCTAAGGCAAGCGAATCTGGCTCAGCGACACCAGCTTTTAAATAGGTTGTAATAGATGGATGTAGTCGGGTAAAGGGACAAGTGGAAAGAAACTTTCACCATGCCCTAGAGACCTATGTAAGCAGTTAGGCTGATCCAAGTGTCTTTGGCAGTTAATCGTGCTGTGTATCGTTGGCTCGGAAGCGTACCTATGGACCTATTGTGTGCCCCTTACTTAGCAGTGGAACTGTCATTTTGTTTTAGAATCAATTGTGCAACCAGTACATGAATTTGGTTGGTTCCATTAGATGGGTACTGTACTGCGTGTGCGATTATTTATCTGTCGAGTGGAAATTCAGTGCCCTTATTGTCATCGGCGTCGGGCACGTCTAAAATGGATCCAATAGATGGCGCAAGTTTAAGGTTGACATTTGAAAAATAGATTTGATATTGTTCGATACAGGATCGTCAATGATGGAAAATTTAGGGGGAGACAGGCCGTTCTTGGAGATACCACTTCTACTTATATTCCAATGTAAACTTTACTGGTGGCAAAACATGGGCGTACTCAGACCGTGCTTTATCTAGTCGCGGCACACTTAACTGTATGTAGTTATAACCAACAACGAGCAGAACAATTAAACTATGTCTCGTAAAGTTGTGAGACACAGCTTGGTTTAGGTTCGAAAAGTTTTTTTTTGCCAAGTTACTGGGCCCATGTACCAGTACATGGTTTATACATTGATTATGAAAAATGTCATCAGATATTTATGCGCCATCCTCTTCTGGCAAACAACGATTTTGCAGTGCCACATCTATGAATGCCTTGTTTGTTCTTCCCAACTTAGTAAATTCTACAATGGAATCGCTAAAATTATCCCCATGATACTATTGTGTAGCAACGATTTTGTTAAATTTTCGTGCCACAGCTGCGTCCGCTGTTCAGATGATGTTTGTATCAGAGTCTCCGTTTTATTAGTGAGCTTTGTTTACCCACGTCTATCTTTCCGATGAATCCGCCAGCGACGGAAGCCTCTAGCTGTGAAATAGCAAATTAATTAGAACATTTGCCAACAACAGCAACAATGGTGCTAGCAATAGAAAACTCCAGCACGAGTACAGAACACCATGAAGTTCAGGCTTTGCCCGATGGCTGTCGTATACGTTGGTGGTCGCTTACTCACATTCGGCTGGAGTCGGGTAACGAAGTTCGCTCATTTTGACTGACTGACTGACTGACTGACGGCAACAAACGCTCCTGTTGGTCTGAACTGAGACCCCGGAACCTCATCTAGCTTTACTCTTTAGCTGCCTCTATTCAGACATTAAGACGGACTTCAAAGCAGCGAGGGCGCAAAAGATCCAGAATAGGACATGCAGTAGGCAGGCTCTGTCAGTTAGCCTGATAGCCCGGTGTGCCACAACCTTCTCTCTCTCCGATGTATCGATAATTGATGGTGGCAACGCCCCCTATCAAAAAGTGGCAGTAGCGATTCAGACCGTTGCGCCAATAGTGACGCTGCTATTGGATAGCGCTCTGCCACTGGCATTATTGTGCCCAGTCTGACGCTGCTTTTGTCGTGTGCCACTCAACTTTACATCGACCTCGTTTGGTAAGGAGAAGCCAAACGAACTGAAAACGGGTGGGTGAAATAAATCGGGTGCGAAACATAGAAGATGACGATAAAGAGACAGGAAAATGGCGAAAGGGAGAAAAAGAAAGATCTAAAGGAGAGGAGTATGATCAAGCAGACAGCGAAAGACAGAATGTGTGCGAGAGGCACGAACAAACACATTCTAACGTTGCTCTCCGCGTCGCTGTTCTCGGTTTCCCATAAGCGAGCGACGTTGATGTGGAGGCTACAGCCAGGTCCAGGCTGACGACTGGAACGAACACCAAAGCCAATAGTAATTCAATGGCTAACGCTGTGAGCTCTTGAACTTTACTGCTGATTGATTTATCTGGCACCATTAGGACAGGCGACCTGCGCTGTCGTCCAAAAGCACCCTCGTGATTTTTCCATATCTGGGCCAAATGGCTATGACAACGGTTTTATTTTCGAGACCAATCGTTGAAGAAGTTTTACTAAGGAAGCATAAATTGTGTCGGAGAACAAGCAAACAGAACGAGTCGATATTTTCGAAATAGGTTTAATACACACTAAAGATGGACTTCCACACGGTTACTGTGCAGCAGGAAAGCTACGAGCTCTATGTGACGAAGGAAGCTTAAAAGGTCTATGTAAGTGAAGAACTATACTTTTATATATTGTGTTTGGGTCCATAAATGATGCACGACTATTGTGTCACTATGTTTTTAGGTACATTGTTTAGGTCCAGGTCGTTAAATGATACTGTGGTAGCCTTTGAAGTTGTTGAGATACAGTTCAAAAGCATAGTGTTACAGGTTTCTAACGTGTAATTAACAATATCCTAACTTGACTGATGAACCCCATATATGTCTGTTTAACTAGTACATAATCTACAGATTTCTAAAACTAAACGATATTTCTGTCTGCAATGTCAGTTACGCCAGCGAGAAACGTATCAAATAATATTGATTTCTTGTTAAGAGTTTATACACAAGTCAGCGCGTGGCAAATTTACTACCCACTCAAACTGAGAGCCTTTTCTCTCTGTATCATTTCCAGAAATATGTTTTTACTACTGCAAAAAAATGACCTAAATAGAAGATAAACATAGTGAAAATGCAGCGGAAACTCGATTATAGTATAACGAAAATACAACGGTTCACCAATGTCACCGCGTTAGATAAAGACGATCAGCTTTTTTGGTTACCCAACAGCTGCAGTTTACTACATCATAGACGGAAGAACGGTTCAACAGTAACGGAATGTACATAAATTGCAAAGCTAATGATTCATGAAAGAGGAAAGATAGTAAAAACTCGAAAACGTATAGAGGAGATTCGACGGACGTTTTTGGCGGCTAGATTTGGCATGGCTTGACGAAACACCGCTCACGAAGGCCGCAGGTACGTGTCGAAAACAGCGGACCGTTTTCGATTCTAACGGAAAAGGATCTGCTAGAAAAGCTACGATTAATCGAAGGAGAGACCTAGAGGATATCTAAACACGCGAGTATAACCGACCGTTTTACTAGTATTCACGTTCCATACGTAGTTTCCAATGGTGGCTTTGCCGCATCGTCTTCAACAAACATACACGTTTCAACAAGATAGTACTTTGTTCCATATTTTCCGAATACTGGAGGGGTGGCCAGTTGAACATATCGGAATGGAAACTGTTGGCCATCTGACAACCCATATTTAGCTCAGTTGAATTAATACATGTAGAGCATATTATCTATAATACATGTAGCATATATGAAATGACAACAATCACTCGCTCAGTGTTGCCATGTATCCGTACAAAAAGGTTTTATTACTGGACTGCAAGCTGTTTAGTATCCGAATTCAAGCCATGATCTGACTAAGTAGTAGCTACGTTAAGTTAAGACATCTGCAAATTATACCCCTTTCGTTTAATGTAAAAACGTTGCGCAAGCATGTGTTCTCATCTGGACAAACTTAAGTCATATTCATAAAATTTTGCTTACGTTTAAATAGGACTGCATTTTCTTATATTTTTATAGCAAAAAATAGAAAGAAAACTACAATGGGTGGCCATATCTTGTCTGTATTCAATGCTTTCGTCTAGATGCTGTTATACATTGCTTAGTTAGTTTTCGTATTTTGGTACATTTCCATCTCGATTTTGTCAAGACCTTTTGTTAAGCGCCTGTACTTATCAGACCTTTCATAGACACTGAAAATATATTCAATGAATACGAATGCGTTTTAAGTCACGATCGTTCAGCAACTGAGGAAAGAGTTTGTAAGTATGCCCTATTAGTTTATAGGGGCACTGCGGCCGATGCTATACAAGTCAATGTACAGTTGCATGAAAATACTGACGCTAACATATAGACGTATTTCAATTCAAGAGTTTTATCCAGGATCGTCCTAGGACGTGAAAACATATAGATACTTTTTCTGAACCGTCCATAGGGGTATACCACATGTTCGAGCCGCTTGGCCGACAGGCAGCCAACAGTGCTATGACAGGGAATGACATGCTGTTTAGTTTGGATGAATAAATTTTGCTCGGATATGGATTTTACCATTGCAGCGGAGGAAAACCTTGACGGATTTTGGCAGACCTTTGCCTCTTCTTCTTTGTCTGAGGTCTTTACTGCCAAAACTCCTTCAAACGGAAAACGGCTGTAATTGAGTTTGCGTGTTTGCCTCAGGTGAGCTCGTCCCTGAAGCGCACTATTGCTGCTGGCCGACATTGCTCCGAGAAGCTCTTCGATTTCTTGCGCGATGCGCTTCTCCTCTGTGCCGGAGCGCACACAGACATCCTATCGTCGTCTGCTAACTCCTCCCATTGCCAGCCTGTTTGCTGGCTTATCTCTGTTCGAGTGGATGAGTAACCCTGCCCTTCCGTCCCATATCACTCATATAAACCTCCTCTCGAGACCCACCTACAGCTAAAACCGAGAATACGCGAATACGATTCTGTTCGATTCTCGCTTGTTCCTGCTTCATCCACTGGCCCGTTGAAGCTATGTCGCAAATTACGTACCCCTCAAAAAACTCGCTGCGGGCTGTAAGACAACTTTATCAAAAAAGCCTGTAATTATCTGTCTATATTAAATTGCCTTTTAGAAAGCGTTACTTAATAGATACCTTAGATCGCACTAGGTGTAAAATCATCTTGATATTCTTCGTTCCTACCGCAATAATCTTTTTCAAGCAGCGTCTGCTTTTACAAACGAAGTGCCTCAAACATTACGAAGATCTAGGATAGCTTTAGCGTTCCCCATACCTTAGCTAGGCTTGTGCCTAGATTAGAAATTCTAGGATGTGCGTGCCTGACAAATCACGTTTGGTCACCTCATTTATTCCGTGTATTAATTGCTCTTTGTCGCTAAATGTAAACACTGGCTTTTGCTTACGGTGGTAAGCATTCACTCAGAGCAGTTTTCGATTCGACGATCGTTGGCCAACGCACTTAGACGCAAAAAAAATACGTACAATCACGTTATGGGATTCAGGCGTTCGGATGTGCTTAGATCTGCTAACCCACTCACAATCTCGGTAGTAAAACGTTCGTCATGTCTGCTAGCGCTTTCATTGCGACCTGCAAAACATTATACTCACGAACCACGTATCATTACTTATTCTGTATGATGTACGAGCGAAAGGCTCTAATAGTTATTGAATAATTGTTATTCTATTTTTCTATTGCAGTATCAGCAGGATCTCTGGAACTTAAAAACTTCCCACCTTTAATTTTTTTTAGTAACATTTTGGCTATATTAATCATTTAATATGAAGCACGACAACCGATAATACTAACAAATCCCCTGTCAAAAGACCAATTTAAATCGTAGAGTAACTAACTCCAAGACTAACTTAGATTATAATTACTCTTAGGATGAGATTGTTTGGCATTATCATGGTGCTTATACTAAAGGTGTGTTTATAGATCTTCACCAGCAGAGGTCCGTTCGTATGTTAAGTTGCACGGACAACCCCTGCAAGGTCCTATATTAGGTTTAACCTTTAAATCAGTAAAAGATACAGAGAGAGGAGGCGATATACATGCTTTGCGAATTCTACTGAGTTTGACGTCAGATACCACCATACAATCCCAGCTCCGCAGTCCCCGTTTCAGGCCTTCGGTCGCCGACGCAGGTGCTTCGTACCTCATTTCATCTGTTGGCCCAGTGAGAGATCGGCTACCGACCAACTGTATCCCACTGCATCGCACAGCACAGCCAATATTCGTGCTGGTACCGCCTGCTCCTACTGCCAGGCTTATTCGGGCCACTTATTAGCGGATGAGCACTAACGGAGCTGTGTCTGTTCGCAGCGTCAAAGACCGTCGTTGGATTGAACCTACTGGTAGAATCGCATCGCTCTCTTCTTCTTCTTCTTCTTCTCTTGATGGCGCAGATCTCGCTGGGATTTCGTTAGTGGACGTGGATTACGTTAGAAGAGAGCCTGAAGCTTGTGACGCGGTGAAACTAAAAATAAAGCCGGGAACGAGGCCGAAATACCCTAGGTCTCACGTCTCATGGGGCCGTTTCCTGTCGACGTCAATGGCAAGAAAGAGATATAGCGGCGACAGCAGCTCTAGGGGTCTAGCACAGTAACAGCGACACCGGCGGCTATACAACTAGTAAGACTCATCCGTATCGACGTGGGTCGGCTATAATAGAGGTCGCATGTCTCGTTATAATGAAGTCAAGCCACATATAATATATACACATCTACCAGGAGTGTTAGTGGTTGTTCTCCCGGTTTTTTTTTTCTTTGTTTTGTCCAGCTTGTAAATACGCTTGAAGAAGTAATCGTATTGATTGTTACTGCCATTGAGTATGTTAGAGATACGCTGCGAGATAGCTCGAGCTATTGTGAAATAGGGAATTTATTGTATATCAATTTATATGTGTAGTAACTGCGGCTATGCCTGTTGGGCTAGCGATTCAAACTATCTGTTTGTGAACGATGTACTTCATGCTATACTACAGTTATACTATGTGTCACTGTAACATAAACGAAGTGGCACACTTCTTCGCAGTAACAAAACAGCTCCAATCCTATGTCAGTTAGATCGTAAGTTACTCTGAAAGGGCTCTTTTAAGCGGTCTTAAGCGACAGTGTTTTTTTGTCAATAGTATTAATTAAGCTAATCGAGATACGATAAAATAAGCCTTATTGGTTTAAATAGTTTTCTATGACGCGTAATTGTTTAAACATCGTTTTTATTTCTATCAGATATTGGCAAAAAGCTAATTTGGCTAAAACTAATTTTTGAGATAGGCCTTCCTGAAACCAAAAAATAAATAAAGCGTTCATAGCATTTAGGAAACGTTGGTAGTATTCGCAAATGCTTTATTTGGCTCAAAAAAAAAAAGAGAAAACAATCATGTTGATGACTTGGTCTAATCGAGACCCTGTATTAACAAGCAAGCGCGCTAAATGTAAACGAAGGCTTCCAGACGGTTGAGATGGGCTAATATACATTGTGAAGGCCCTGAAGCTAAACTAGGAAATAAGGGATTTCGAAAAACAAGAAGCCACACTCTTGCTACGTAGCTGTTAAACACCAAAATTACTGCTGAAAGCCTTCTGTACTCCCGCCGCGAAGATCTTTAGCCGAGGACCGATGGCTTTTCTATTCGAAGCCACATTCTGGTAATCGAGTTAGTTATATTCTGGCATGGCCTTCCGTAGAGTGTGCTTGAGGCAAGCAAGATTGATAACGCACTACGGATGCTATCGACTACGAAGTATATCGAATGCCCCCCCGAGCCTATATGGGTAAACTCGTGAAGCTGTACAAAAACTCAACCTTTGTCAAAATATTACCTTTGTGTTAAATATACAGACGTACATTTTCCAGTACGGCAAGTATTGTTTTAGAGAAGATATCGAATATGCATATCAAATCATTAGAGGTCGTCATATATTTATTCGGGCTTTCTTCATGGCTGTTTTCCTTCTTTATGTCCTTATTGAATCACGGGATTATCCTACAAGAAAGGCCATTCACCCTCCCTCTGCTTTTAGCGTTTCTCTCACAAACGTGCGAGTCAACGACAGCTCGGTGCTTAAGCTCTCCTCCAGAGCCCAATAAAAGAGCCTGCGCGCCGCATCCACTTACTTCGAAGGTTACTTATAAGCCGTCAGGTAAATCGATAATTTGAGTGGGTGCTGAAATTATCGGGGAAAGTGCAGACTTTTCGTAGATATAAACGGCGTGTTTTGTTATGATTCAAACAAAAATGTACAAGGGAGAAAAAAAACTATATTCAATATGACCGAAATAGACCTGCGATTCCAACACACTAGCTGACTCGTTTATTTTATGGCATATGAAGACGAATCCTTTTCAAATCGCATTCAAGAGTTGAAGAACGATCACAGTTTTTTGTCAAGAATAACTAACTACCTTTGCAAGCCTTTCTGAAGCCGTGAGGGTTCGAAGGCTAGATTTGTATTTTCTCGTGTTTTATTACTGGTGGATTATTTATACGTGAATAGACCTCGTACTGTTGCATTGGTATATTACACTAGTACATTAGTAATATTATATATATAATACACACCGACCAAATGGTTGCCAAATTCTTGCCAATTTCTGTCTATGTATATATATATATATATATATATATATATTGTCCCGAAGGCTTTAAAAAGAAACTTGGAAAAAAGGCTTCGAATTATTGCTTCTATTAGAAGTTCAGTGTATCTTTCATCGTCGTTAAAACAATCATACGTCCTATGTTACGTAAGTCGGCGTATAGCCAGTATCGAGTCGGTTGACTATGAAGCGTTATATTTTCTGAATAACCCAATATCCATAAGTGTGAGTTTTTAAGGTTCTAATACAACAACGTTCGGACCTAGTAGCGCAAGCACTCTTAGAAATGATCGGTAATGCGCCTCTTTGAAGATATTTATAACCTACGAAAGGCCGCAATTCAGCTTATGACTGTATATACAGGAAAAGCGTTCACTCTAAACCCGATATAAAATCATAGTGTATCTACATCTTGATTACGATTTTTAGGCGGTAGTGCTAAGTCTTCGCCTTTTTTTTTTCTAGGACATAAGATCTTTTTGCACATTCTGTTGATAATTCGATATTATAGTACACATACCTACAGTGTTCAGGATCTAGTAGTTTCATCCGAGGGGTTATGGCTCATCAGGGTCAGCCCCGGAAAAGACCTACTTTGAGTTCTGCCCCAACACAGATACAGATTTATTCCAAAAACTAATTATAGGTTGTGTGGACACCCAATCTTGTTTGACGTGACGAAGCTTGTGGGCTGCATGCACAGCTCATATATCAAACGAACTGGGTATAAATCTGGATTTTAGCACACCTACGGTTAACGCATACCAGATGTAACGTTTCTATTGCCACGATTTGAGAAATACAATTTCTGACACAAAGTCAATGTTAACTAGATCTTGTCCAAAAGAATATAAGCGCAGCCATCCAGGTTTGGAGCCCTACGTTCCCCGATCCAAACCCGCAAAGGACCACTAACAACGAAAACTGATGGTTTTATGTTAGAATGTAATAGTCCAAAGTGTTAGTTTATTGGGTTGAATACTAATACAAAGAAGTTATATACCACTATTTGCCGTAGACAGCTGTAATTTGTTTCTATTGTGGTGTTTCCCCACGTAGCACGCGCTAATATTACGACACACGCATATATGCAGCAAGAGTTTTTCTTAACCAAAAAGAAACAATTCTGATCCGGAAAGTTCTAGCCCATATTAGCAACGTGCGCCGTCATCGTTATATGCATATGTTGCAAAATTTTAACTCTAACGGTCTAAGACGCATCCAAGATTTGTTTTTCTCCTCATCATGTTTCACAGTCTGTATACAGTCACCATGCCAGGTTCTCTCACCCCTTTTCATCTATGTATCAGTACTTAGGGTTTCTCACCGTTTTCTTCAATTCGCCACAACACATAAATGCTAAGACGTTGTAATATAGTAGCGAAATGAAGCTATCCGATACTGTTGTCGACCATCCTATTGTGATTATCAGTTGAAGCAATCATGATATATATAATCGTTGAAAGTCGAGGAGTCGCTATAGTGGATCGGGTCGACGGGAAATAAGCGTTCGCGCAGGCTTAAGCCGTCTCGCTTAAGCTTTCGCGGTGAACTTTTTGGCGCCCCCCTCACCAACAGCGTGATCAGCCATTTCAGTTCCTGTGGCAGTTCCGGGCACAACCGTAGCCCGAGCTGACGGGTGAACACAGAAAGCTCATGTGAACAATAGGATCTCCCCAGGGAAAGCTATAAGGACAACGTGACGGCCGCTAGCTGTTTGTAACCATCCAACGCTACGTGACAGGCTCAACAATATATGCTGTGGTGCTCTGTCCACAATCGCCCTACTGAGAAACAGTGGGAGAATTCAACATTGGTTCATATGGAAAACATGGGCGACGGGACGTCCATTCTGCCGCGTCCGTTCCGTTGCGGCTAGTCGCTTTGCAAGCGATTCCTGCGGCTTAATTTCTCTTTTCGGTGTTCCGTTCAATAGATGCGATTGGAGCTAAATCACGGATCGTTCATTTTTGAGACAGGACTTGTAATATATGCTAGAGATAGAGAGACAGACACAAGTATTGCGTTTTTTTAGGGTATCCGTAGGTCGGATTTCGATCGCTCAATAGCAGTTTGGAATAAACTCTTGTCCCGGCCTCTGATAATTTATACCAACGATTAATAAGCAACTACTAGACGTACACTCATATGGGCAGTGCCCGATACGGTAGCTTGGCTAGTTGGGGTTCGGAGTGAAAGATTGCTTCGAACCGCGCTCATGCATATTGCCGAATTTATAAATGAAGTTGTATGGACAACCCCCAGTAAGGCCTTGTTGGTGCATATTGTATTTTGTGAGGTGACGCACTGACATTGTACGTTTAGGATGGATGATAGTTTTATTCAACATATGACCGCATATAATAACGTGAACGTATGTTGTTTGTATCCATTAAGTGCAATATTATCATAAACTATATTCTTGTTTTGAACTGTTTTGGTAACAGGTAACAAAGGTCTTTTAGTGCGTTGGTGATACCCAGCGTTGCGCGTATAATTCGTCTGCTGTGCACAAGACGAAACTCTACGATTTTGTCACTTTAGAAGCTTTTTTGGACCGGTTAAAACACTACATTGACTGCACGAATGATCAACGAGAACTTGAAGTTGTATGAATGGAATAAATAAATATGTCAGCAACCTACGACAGTTATATTACCTCCCCAGCGAACTAAAGAGCCATGTAATCGACTAAATATATACAATTTCATCTGGCAAACGAATTGGACTACGACTTACTAGAGTTTCCACAGCATATTCTGCATAATATCGAGGTTCTATTCTTAAGAGGTAGCAGTTTACCTATGCAACAGAACCTTGAAACTATTAGCTTACTTACATTAATCATGCTTACTCGTTTCTAGCCTTCACGCTAGGACGATATCTCATGGTGGTACCCGACTGTATCCAGATCTTTTGAAAATCATTCTGCCAGAGCCTTTTTATGGACCCGATATTAGCGTTTTCTTAGTTCCATTCATCATTTTCTCTCAGGTCAGTATGGCAGTGTGTTTATCTACCGCCAGATACTGTATATAATCCATCGATGATTCTGTGTTTTTATCTCCTATCTTTAACCGCTTATTTCCTTACTCAACCCTGACAAATATTTGCGTCTCTGCATCGCTCCTGCAAAATTCGACCGGTGATTATAGATTCTCACTCACGATAACTTGCAGATTATCCATTTATGTCAAGTTTTTTCCGGTTCTTCTCGTGCACGACGGAGCAAAGGCTGGGTCTCGTCGTTACCCGTGCAAACCCGCTTGTACGCTTCTGTAAGACTTTGATATCGTTTCTTCTCGTTCGAGCATAGCGCCTAGTTATTCGTCCTACCTACCGCGGTGGTAAAGGTCGCAGTTGTACTTGTAGCTATCGGGGACAACGAAGGCATAAGCAGATCAGAAAGCGTTTTACGACTTTTGTGCACTGACAGAATCATGTTGGCTTAGTCAGAGGTTTTGGAAAGGATCAACTTTTTTGGAAGGGAGACACAGAGAAGATCTGTCATCGGAACGTAATGAAGCATGAACAGACGGACCACAACGTAGAACAGTGACGACTAGGAGAAGAAGATGTTTTGCACAGCGCAATTCACTGGGGTGTTCACTGAAGACGGGTGCTTTGCCAATGTTCGGATAGATGTACTTGCCAATACAGCCGTCGGCGGTCAGACAGATTGTTTTTGGATTGTCGTTGTAAGACATTTTGCTATAATGTTAAATCAAGTAAGCAAGAAAGTGCTAACAAAATACGGACAAAGCTATAAGAGTAAACGAATTTACGATGGTCGCGTTATGAAGTGTATAATTATTAACTGAAGAATACGGAGCTTCCGCGGCAAATACTTACGTCTTACGTTGCCGTAATCAGAGTCAAGAAAAAAGTTCTCTTTAAGAGAACTTGTGAAATTTTTATTGCAAACAAAATGTTTTTTAGTCTCAAAAAGGGAAACGTTAATTGAGTGATCGATTTGTAAAACGAGCACAATTTTCAAATGGAATATCAAATTATAAATGTTAATTCACACTGTTTGTGTAGCGCGAAACACCGAATTATCAAGCTTAATGATTCAAGTTTCCTATATCCATCTATGCCCCTGGTTCGTCGAGAAAACGGTCGAAGTCAAACACTAACGAAACAGCATCGACTTCGTTCGACGTAATACGTTACCTTAATCAGTTGCAACTATGCCCCCAGATACCCTTCAGAAGATATTTGCAATCATAGGTAGTTCTGACCCCTCGAACTGATAGAATATGCTACAGAGATTGCTAGTGCGTGCAGCTCTGTGTCATCCTAAGATGTATTAATAATTGCGTACAAATGATGATTGTTTTTTAGGTTCGGACATCTTCTTAGTTTGAAGTTTGCCTGATGCTATAATCGATATTATAGCCAAAAAATGTAGTTTTTTTGCCTTCTGAAAGTACTGAACTTCTTCGCTTTCAATTGAGACGTCTTTTTAATGTTTCTTGGCCCTAAACTTTAGTTACATCTCGATGCAACTTTTGAATTAAATCCAATTCATTCTCAAAATAACTCTAAATGTATACTTGGCCAACCTAAGTGAAATACCTGGGAAATTGGTTGCGTTTAAAAAAGCATCTTATTGTTGTTATTAGTACTATAATTACCTATAGTAAGGTTTATCGTACTTCTTAGTCATTTGCATAATACATTACTAGCTTATTAAACGACGATCAAGCTGCTGTTTTGGACGCACACATCTGCACCCCCACAATTTAATGAGACCGAACCCCGTTATACCTAATCGTAATCGCTTCGTTCAGATAAAAACAGGACGGCTATAACTTACGATAAATCAGGGGTGATACCCAGTCGCCCATTCTAAGGTGACTATGAATAAAAGAAAAGCAAGAAACCCAATAAAAGCACATTGGCTTCTACCACCACGTGTTCCGCGTAGTGTCGTTAGTATAAAAGTTGACAACGTCTATAAGACACAAGATGGTCAAATAAAATCTAGTGATGACTTCTTGTCATCAATGAGAGGACTGAATTATAAAAATAAGCGCCCATATGTTTGCCATTAGCTAGCAATGTTAGATCTAATTCATGTATTTCCAAAAATGCTTCCATCTGTACGACAAGACTTCTGGCATTTCAATCCGAGATTCTTCCAGTCGAATTTAAAGAGATATGGCTGAAGGCCGAGTTCTTGTCAACGAGTCGCACACCGATGATTGCAGTTTCACACTGGCACCAATTTTGTGAAGAAGAAGACCATTAAAGCTATTGATAAATAGTTGCGTGCTCATCCCTCAGGTTGAAAGTACTTGAAATTAGCCGGACTCACGGCCACACGAAAGATTGATAGGCTAACTTCAAACTAACGGTTGCTTTTTTTGGCAAGAGTAAAACTTATTGCTCTTTGGCCTTGATAAGGTAAGAAGTGAGAGCTTCTGTTGACACTCGTTCCAGCATCAGATGATGAAATACAGACTCACCCGTTATTTAAAGGAATATGGCATTTGATAAAGCTTTAACCAATCTGAAGCAGGATTCATCATTAGACACGCAATTATGAGGAACTGGCAGCTTATGAACGAAAGTTAGGGCAGGAGTCTGTGAGAAGGTGGCTTGAAAGGGACGAACAATCCTTCAGCAACAGCTGGCAGTTTCGTATATACAGACCCAGTCATGACGTATGTACTTTAAATTCAAGATCGATAATGAATTTACAGAAATGCTTTTATTGACATTACGCCTATCTATTCGATTATGATACAATATCTGTGCAGCGCAGGAATCTTCTGCTTTGAGCGTCTGCTGCATTTATTACTATAGAAATCGTATGAAGTCCACAATAATTTTCAGTGTGTATCAACTCAACAACAAAATGAGACTACCGCGGAAGTTTGTGAAGCCATGGCAACGAGGTCGAAAGCTATAGCCATAGCTAACCAGTAGTTATAAGTTAATAATAATGATATGAAAACAATTAGATTAAAGGCGCATTCTGCAAAATAATGGAAGTCGAAAATGAACGGTACTTATATTTACGGCAGTATATACAATGCTTACGGCTATCATAAGTCCGGTTACCATTTCTGTACTCACTACCGTCTACCTTCGTGAAACCGTTCGAGACATCTAAGCGTGCTATATTAGTCTTTTCCACGCGTCTTCATGCTTCTTCATGCTGACTTTTACCGCGGTCGTTTTTTTAATAACACGTTGCATTTTGACATCTCAATTTTGTGAGTTGAGTAGCTATTACTTACGATCAATGCAAGCTTCCATGGGCGCCAGTAGACTGCTCGAGCATGAAGGCCCCGGCATGGTTGCAGCAACTGAATGCCTGCTACCGGTCAAATATGTCTCTTAAACTTCGCTCATGGCAGTGCTCGTCCGTCGCTAAAGTCGTTCTGTGCGGATATCAGCAGTAAAACCGGGATAATAGCAGGGGTCACTAGAGGCGGCACTAACATAAACTGCCGAGTCCTCAATGACGTCCAGACGAAAACCGCAAAAAAGCTCGGTAACGGCGACTTCTTGGCATTTTTCACCTACCGTCTGTAGAAGGCTTGTCTGTGCTAGTAGTCCCGAGCTTTACCATCAGCTGTACTAGTCAGACAAGACAAGCAGCCATCTTGTAAGTTAAAAGAGTAGAGTCGGGGCATATCCGCTGCCCCCTTTTCCACCACCCTTGTCCCATAGCAGGCGACCGAGTTAGTCAAACCAAACATCTATCAGCTGCTCAGCGGTAAGAGCAGGTCGAAATGGAGAGAACGGGTATAGATGGATAGACAGATGTTAGTGGATAGTGGCAAAAGCACCGTTCGTTGGTTAAATGGCTGGGGATGGACAAATGTTTCGTGTTCGTGGTGGTTCGAACCGACTGACCGGCGCCTCCGAGGACGAGGCCAAATCTTCAAAGATCCAAGGAGCAGTCGGAGGAAAACAAGACCACCTACACCACAAAGAAACGAAAAATAGCTGCAATCCCCCACCACTGCAGCGGATGTTCGCCTGCACTACGCTCAACGGTGATGTTTTTGCTGCGTAGGATGTGGCGGCCGACCAGTAAGGCAGGGTAGGTCAAACACAAATAGTGAGAATGCGATAAAAGAAAAATAGATGAGAGAAGCTTCTATGACAGGAACACTTGTCGAGGCATCGCCCTCCCGCCATAACTACCATGTCACTCCCGCACGAGGGGAAAGAAACCTTAGCAAGCGAACAGTGAGTATAAGTTGGAACAAAATTGGATAGAACAGAAGAACAGAGCCTGAGTAGCAAGGCATACCGTAGCATAAGCGAATGAGGCCACACAAGCCACGCCGGGGCTATACCAAGGAGGTTCCCCACTACTGCTACTACATGTGTTCTTGCTACTACCGTTAACCCTCCTATCTTCAACCTCAACGGGTGCTTTCGAACATCTTCGCTTCTTACCGCCCGCTTCACCAATTTCCCTAACCCTTTACTGAAGTCGTTTACCGTCCGTATGAATGGCCTGCCCTCACCTTCAACTTCCCGTTCTTATAGCTATTCCTATTTGATGCGCTCGTGCTGGTTGCCGCAAAGCGTAAGATCGAAGGCGTTGGCTCTTCCGCTGTTAGCCTGGCGTCCCAAACCAACCTTTTCCTTATTGTTCGCTTTTTTGCGAAAAAGGGAACACTGCTGACAATGTGCACTGCTACTGATCGCCGCTGCCGCAACAGCGTGAAGAAGAAAGTGGTAACTGCACTAGTCCCCCGAGATGCAGAGCGAGTACCGGTGCCTGAACCGGCTTTGGTCTTACTTCCAAGTGGTTGCTGCTTTCGATGCTGATGATATGGTAAAAAAGGGTCCAGCGACCAACGCTATATGAGGCAAGCAAAGCCCCCTAGACAGCGTGATGGAAAAGCCCCGGTTAGAGGCAGCTTTCCCCTCACGCCCTTTTCCGTTTGCCCCCTGACTTCTTACACCCCGTTAAAGGCCAAAGGCGGTTACGGGCAGGTCGAGAACTTTGCTAGGTACGAAAACGGGAAGTGGAAGGGCGATGGACCGAACGTGCTTTGAAACCCTTTGAACACCTACATACAAGCCGGGGAGGAGTTCTACGGGGGAAGGTGGTCAAAGTCGCCATTTCTATTCATCAGGCGTGCTTTCGGTCGAACAGAGTAGAAACTGCGGCCAGAAGCGACAAGAAAAAATAGCTCATCATAAGATCTACGGTGCATCGAAGCAAACAGTGAAGTAACGTTGTGGGTCGCGCATGACCCGTGAAGACAACAGGCGCGAAGAGAGGCATTATGTATGAGCAAAACAGTGTGTGCTGGACATCTCATAGATAGGACTGATAGGACGCGACAAATATACGGGTTAGCACATGAAGTATTTGCACAATAGTAAGATTAAGCCATCAGTAATTACAATGTAGGCCTTATCTGCTTAAAATCCTATGTTCACGTGCTGGGTGTCGTCCATAATAATGACCTAGCTGATTTTAGCGTATGCTTTCCCAAATATTTGATGGTAGCCGACAACGGTATATTGATTAGTCAAAGTGATGACTAATTTTTTTGTTACTCAATATGCTACAGTTTTCTGGACTTGAATGGTAATTATCTTTTAAATACTAATGGGATGTGCTGTTACGCAGTGAATGTTTACTTTCTCATTGTGCACTGGGAGGCGTCATATATTTTGCTTTGTAGCACGAATGGAAAATCGTTTTATTTTTCGGCGCTCTCATTTACTACGATTTGGGCGCGCGTAAAATGTCTTCCTCTATAGCGAACAATAAGCGCAGACACCGAAGAATGGCCTATATTATAGTATTTTTATTTCGAAACTTTGTCCGCAGTGAGAGTACAGTGGCACTGCGTGCACCAGCAAAAAAGCTGAAAAGCACGGCCCCGCCGATAGGGCCTTTCATCGGAAAGAGAAGTTTAATCCGGAATTACTCTGTTTCATTCAAGGCCTTTTAGTGCGAGCAGCGTAATACGTTTCTTACTCGTAATTTTCCTAAACGTCAGTGATAGCTAGATCAAAATGGTGCGCTTTGTTGATACTAAACGTTTTTAAATAAAGACAAGTTTCCGGACTGGAAAGTGGGAGTTTTCAACGATTGTCCTTGGTTGGAAATAACAGAGCTTTTTTATTATGTCTTGTGTTAGATCGTATTACCTGGACAAGCTTATTGGGGTAAAATCTCTGCATTACACACCAGCTGTCAATAAAGACACCCTCCATGTAAAATCCTCGTTTTGAATTAAGTTTTTCTTAATAACCGATTTGTATAGTAGAATTATTCAGCCCGAATCAAATAAAAAAGAGCGGTAGGGTTAATGCTGTAACTGCCACAACTTATGTCTAATACCTATTTGGCCTTTCGGTCCCGCAAACGAACGAATTGACAGTAACCAAAATAACTAGTTATTATACGCGTTTGTGCCGGCACGATAACTTGGAAGGCCAAGCCTCGGGTTACAAAACACCAGGAGTCACTGCTTGAATGATACATAGTACGTAACCTTTACAAATAGAGAAGGTTGTAATATACACCTACGCTAACTGCGATCCATACAATCATAATGGATAGCATTGTTAACGATTCTGAATGTTACGGATTAAATATACCTATAAAAGCTGTGATATGTTTGACTTTGAATAATGATTACCATCATCATCATCACAACTGATAATAATAACTATAATATACTATCCTTTATGTCGCAGTATTTTACCAGTACTGAAATTAAATGGACGTCACAACTTCTTATAGATCAGGTCCTCTCGAAACGGCACAAAGTAAATGGTAATCTAGCAAGTTTTTAAGATAAACAGAGCACTCTTTACCGCATCATTGTTATACTCCTATAACCTACAATAAGCAAAAGTTACTTGAAAAAGTATACATTACATCGCCTTATCTGCCTCAGCTCGACCATTTTCAATGATACAAAACTTAATGAGCGAGCCGACGGTCAACTCAACGAATTACGTCTACGCCAGCCACCTCGTCGAGATTCGTCCTATAATCAGGCGACCTTTTCTTGGTGTAGAAAAGTTATGCACTTCTTATGCAGTTTTTATGTCGGGCAGAAAACAGAAGCGCAAATGACGAACAGAGCAGATGCTGACAATGAATAGAAAGTCCATAGTTTTTTTGAACACCAATAAGCTACGCTGAAGTGTTCAAATCTACTATCTAGAATGAACACGAATCTACACAGATCTTGTGAAAAATACGGTAAAACCTTAATGCCGGCTATCGTTGAGATCGTCAACGAAGTCGAATTTTTAACGTCCCGTATTGATTGTTTGTACCTTTTGGCTGTGGCGGGACTTCGAAGGACGCATGTTCTCAAAGACGAGAGTATATGAGCGATACAGGAAAAGGTATGACCTTGCACGTACGAGGACGCTTTGTGCTATCGCACATATGCTTCTAATTTCTGTAAGTCTAGATGTAATACATTTATGAACTTATTCAATAAATAGAGCCTTCACGATGTGGCCTGATAAAAGGCACTTTGTGGAATATTTCTTAAACAATATCCATCTCAAAAGCAGAAGTTCAATATGTACCAGGTGCGCTATATCAGACGAACTAAATGAAATTCCACTAGAATTGGTTGATTTTTCACAGAATACCCGCAATTGATTACGTGCATTTTTCTGCCTTAAAATATCTGCTGTATATTTACAGAACATTAAGCCGGTTCAGCTTCGTATTTGAAACTGAAAATTCAGGTATTGTTGGCCTACTTAAATAGGAACATGTATATATCTATATATACATGTATAAACATGTTTACTTTGAATAGAGGATGACTGACTTGGTTCAATCCCGCTAAAATTAATTCGAATAGAAAATGTATACACCAAAATGAAAATCCGCTTATAGTCAGCAGTGTTTGTTGCAGGAGCTGTAAATCCCCTAAGGTGATGCATAAAACATTCTGCCGTATTAGTGATGACATGACGAAACAAGGTCTTAACGAAAAGACGTCGAGCTCTTCGTTTTTCGATGTTGCTAGATTTTGTGAATATGTGCGCGCTGATAAGCGTACCACGTACCGTATTGCCTTTACACTACCGCCGTGAGCAGCATATATATATATATATATACATATATATATATATATATTTTTTTTTTCTTGTGCACATTCCCTAAAACAAATCAGCTTAGATTGCGAATCGGCGAACGTTCTAAAGAGCCGTCATGGCGAACGCCGTCCATATATTCCTTTTGGTTTTAACCAGCTTGCTTTCCCCCAGTATAAGCTCAATCATATCTAACAAGGCCAAGACCCAAACAGCCCATAATCTTAACGTCCGGTCCGTTCCGGATCAGCATCGTGTCGACTTCTGTTTTTTAATTCGACGACCGATTTGTAATCTGGCAACAAACCCGTTACCTAGTGCGTAGTGAATAATCATCAGAAAATTCAGTCATAACGGAAACACTGCAACTTCGACCCTTGATTCCTTCCGAAGATTCTGTTAGAATCATCATAACCTTGGCTTCCGGCACTCAATTTTTTCAAAATTACTTTAAGATCGGCTGGACAAAATCTGACACTTAGCACGGTTTCAGGTACGAATTACTCGACAATTACCAGGACTTCGGCTTTAAATCAGGTGACTTACCATGATCTCGGCCGAATAGTAGAGGATGTTAATACATCAGGTTCATGTTTAGAACCTTATAGTTGCTAAAGTAGATTTGTAGACTGTAACAGGCAATTTGCAACAAGATTGTCTATTCAGCAAGCTAATTAGAGCTAAGGGATGCTTTAATCAGAAGTGCGGTACAAGCTGAAAAATAGGCGAGCCAATACGAAATACCAACAGCAACATACGTACCCGCATATACCTTACGGCTATAAACTGTCTATAGAAAAGTTCGCAGAACGCTCAGTTAATGAAAAAGGGGAAGGGCCAAGCGTTCGTAGCCATGATGTCCATTGTCGGGCCGACGGGTCTAGCCTTTGCATGCAAAGGTCCAGTTTCTCGTCAACAAACTCTGCGAACGAATTGGGCACATGAGCGTATAGCAAACGTTTTGTGGAATCTATTGCGTGTGTTGTTATGAGCTTCTGCCATTGACTGCCTTGCAGAGGCATGTCGGTTCATCATGAAGTGTTCATTTGCTTGTTGGCATAATGAGCCCGAACGATTCAAGTCTGATACGAACATGCTCGATCTTCAGATCCACCTATGATGGTCGTATGTAGATAGCATACGCGAGACTATCATCTCAAGTATAATAACATTTGTCTCAGCATCGGGTGTGCGTGCATAGCGTGTACGGCAATTGCCTGTCGCATTTCACAATTGTAACCAGACTTATTATACGTTAGCCTCGGTAATCTGACGGGAACGCACGTATGCATGTGGTTAACATCGCTTCGCGTGCTAAGTGAGCGTTTGGGTATCCAGTTAATGGCAAACTATGTTGCTTGTGCTGGACTACTGCCTGATGCTGTCCGAGTCAGAAGTAGTGGAAATTCAAGTTATAGTAAAGAGAGCCTATTGCAAAGCTTTATGGAAAATAGAATGTCAATGTATATTGTACGACGGATATTGTACGAACTAACTTTCTTGAAATACGCTTATCTGAATTACGTTACGTTACGTTACGTTAACACCGTGGCAGCTCTTCTTTTTCGTTGAGACGATGCTTCTTGATGAATTCTTTTACCTTAAAGATTTTAGGAGAAAATACGCTTGCAATCGGACTGTTGGAAATGAACACGACCTTCATTAACCTAGTTAACGAGATTGTTTGAAAATGCTATTTTGTATAGATGGCTTGTATTAGCTCGTGGATCGACCTTCTGTATAATGCAACTAAGGGTTAACTCGTTTTCGAACCGCCCCTTGAGCACCGCAGCTATATAACGCATCAAACGTAAGGCAGCTGATCAAACACTAGTATATATGAGGACAGCATATTAATGCGTGATAAACGATTACGCCTCAGCTAGAGCTGTATTCCATATTTAATATTTTGTGTGCATTTTTAGCTAGAAACTGTTACTCAATCTTACATGGACCCACCGCCATAAAAATTCCATCTTTGCTGGTGGTGGGGGTCGAAACCGTCATACATACAAGTTAATATCCCGCTATCGGGGTAACCAACTTAAACCATTTAAATCAACGTCCATCAAGCGGGTTGACATCAAAGTAAGTTATTTAGCCGGTTCGTACATCTTCATCGCGCCCAAAACAAAGGAATTCTCACCAATCTCCATGAATTTTCGTTCGAGTTCTCCAGGTTCGTCCTGAATGCTTCCGTTGCCGGAAGCCCAAAGCAATGACATAGATTTTCGAACAGTAGCAAGAAATCTGCTAAGAAATACACGAAGCGATTTCAACTCATTATGTATAGTATTAGTGCTTTTTTAGAAAGGAGGCTTTGACACGATCTAATTGTTCGAGGTTCTTCACTGTAGGAACTACTGCACTAGGTTGCGATTAGAGGAATTTTGAAATCAAACAAGGCTAAAAGTAGGCGAGTAATGAGGTGATTCGATCTTCTGCACCTTTCAGTGATGTACGTAGCGGAACATTTGCTGTTTGCGGCGGAAAAAGCTACCTCAGTACGGTGAACGGTTTGCATAGGCAAGAAGACAATTGGCTAAGTACAAGATGTTAAAGATCGCTGTCCTGCTCTTTCTTCTAACCTTTACGTTCCACTTTTGTAGTTAGCTTTGTCATCAGTCTAAAATCTGTGGCTGCTGCGTGAAACCAAGAGAGAGCTTGCTGTGTTTGAAACCCGTACATCACTAAGTTATCTGCATAGAAGATAACTTCGACTGATGTCTTCGACTTCCTGAAAAGACACCCTTTAGCTAGCTGGAGAATAGGTTATTGCATGAACCAAACGAAGTATCTCTGTGAAGGGCGGTAGTTTAACCACTCTACTATTAACGGTACTACTGTTGTGCTGTAGAATCGCAATGAAAATGTTGAGTATATTTATAAGGACACTTACCTCGGCACTCTTGTCGAGCCGAATTCTCTTCTTTAGGAATTACTTGTAGGGTAGCATCTCTCTACTGGGCTGGAAATGTACCAGTATATAAACATTCATTAAACAGTGTTGTCCAACAAAGCGCGAGAATGACGGCGCATTTTAGGTTTTGCTCATTATAAACTTTATCTAAACCTATAGGCTCTCAAGGCATAAGTTTGCGCACTTCGAAATATTGTGTAAGGATATTGCGTTCTATTGAGATCCCATTTTACCACACTACTGCGAAAAAAGGCACCGCGCCTGGTGTTGTTTCCCTTGAGGCAATCAGCTTCGAGAAGTGAGTTATGAGGGTCTATGGAGGAGCTAATTAGACAAGCAGCCGAGCTGTCGCGGTGCGTTGGCCGCTTTTATGGTCGACGTTTTACAACGGTGATCAAACAGGTATTCTGTCGTTCAAGGCATTGTTGCCTGTGAGACGCATACGTTCTTCTATAAATCGCTTTAAAAATGTAGGCTAAAGGGCAGAACTCGGGCTGCATGTACCTCGGCTATAAGCTTGAAGGCCATCTTTGCCTTCTAGGCAACGTTGCAAGTTTAACTGAATTAGTGCCTATGCTTCCCAGGGAGACTGTACGTTGGAAAGTATCAAGCAGACTAGGTACATAGAGAGTTTCGTGAGTGTCGTATAGGAGCTTGTCTACAAGTAGGCATCACGATTGAGCTTGGCTAATGGTATGGCGTACGTGTAACTTGACATAGTAAAGTCTATCGCCATTAGTATGTGAGCACAAATGTCTGCTTCGTCTGTCAGAGGATGATTTTTACCCTATCCCTGATTACGTTTGTCTAGGAAATTTTACCCTACGAAAGTCGTTGTCGAAATAAAATTGACTACATCACAACTAAACTTTATAAGCGTATTTAGAAGTGCGATAGTGCTGCTCGAGTTCGGCTGATCCAGGTAAGCGTTGAAATCATTAGAGGGGAGGCAGAATGAGAAGACAGTCTGTCCGGTCCGCTGACGGATTTCTTCACCGGTACGTACGTTGACTCCGACTCAGCAGGCCAAACTGGGCTGCTACGAAATTTAGCCGTTGGCCACGTAAAGCAATGACTAGGCACGATGTGAGGCCGCCTATCTTATAACTATAGAAAGTGAAGAAGCATCCGCGAGGGCGGCCTGGTTTGTTTCTCCTTATTGAAAAGTAGCATGCACAATAGAAACGCGGTACGTTAAAAGGGCTGATTGCCTAACTCTCCGCCTTTCTGCTTTGCTTGTTTGTTTGGTACTTGCTTTCCCAACTCTATTGCTTGATGACATAGGAACGTCCTATTGATTAATTTTTTAGCGCATTTCATAAATTGTTCTATTGATCAGCCTAATGTTGGCACAGAG